AAACAATATCTGGTATAGAAAGTTGTAGAAGACAATGGAGAGTAACGAAAAATTAAAAATAATAATTTGTGAAAATTGATATTATCTAACGGAAATCACATGTTTTCTAGGAAATTAAATGTAATTTATTAACTAAATGTAAACTTTTAAATTTCTTTTAAGTTTGAAAAAAAAAGTATTTAATATCCACCTAATTAAGGCAATGATATTGTTAAAAAAATTACTTCATTGTACTTGTGTGAGAGAAGTAAAATATAAAAACAAAGGTGTGTGCTTTAGACCACACAATAAAAGTGAAAACACAAGGCGAGATTAATAATATGAAATATAAATTATAAGTAATAGCTCATTATAGAGGGGATGGAATGCTGAACATTTTTCTCCCCTACAGTAGGCAGGTCAGATTTTTAGTTTCTGGGAAATTTTAATCCATATCTTCCATAGAAATCGTTATCATTTGCTTTTGGACACTATTTTTTCCCTCTTCTATTCTTTAACAGGGTGTCGGGTTAAGAAAGAATGAAATGCTGAACAATTTTCTCGCTTACAGTATGCAGGCCCAATTTTTAGTTTCTGAGATATTTTAATGCATATGTAAAAACGTTTCTATTAATTCTAGCCGACTTTACCCGAGCGTTAACACTTCGGAAACCTGACGGATCAATCTAATTTACTCTCCACAAAAAAGTACTAAACGCACCTAAAGAAGTTTTCACTTCAAAAATATTTCTTGGATGTGTTTATAACCTTAAATACATTTACTGTAGTGTAATAACTCTAGATCTGATATTATGATTAAATAATTACGTATCTAACGTCCATTTATTCCGAAAAATCGTCATGTAAACTTTTAGAAAATTAAAGGAGTCAATAATTTGATGAATTTTCCCTTTCTGATATCCCTACAGCATCCACTTATAATTAGTGTGACAACTTTTGACCTATGTATGACAGGCAATGCAAATTTCATAATTCCATTTTAGTAAACTTTGCAATGGAAAATAATCGTACAATCCGTAATCAACGCATCTTACAATTCATAATCAACCGTTGATATAATAAATATGATTTTTGTTATTTTAATAGCATTGTTAGCTGTAAGCTTCAAGCTTTAGCTCGGTTAAAATTGCACTTCAAAAATTTTATAATAGCCCAACATTGCCAGAAAATTGTTTCTATTAAAAGTAGAGTTGTCAGTGAAAGTTATGTGTTGCGCGCACCAGAATTATTTTTAATATTATGATAGCTTATCGCAATAATATGACATATTATAACGTCACACGGCTGGGACCTTGAATGTTACATCACGATCAAAACTTTGTTATTGATTAATTAATTGAACGTACGAGTGGGTCATGATAAGTAACATCTTTTAGTTCTAAAGGTGCGTTTAGACATTTCACAAACTATGCGAAACACAATTAAACCTAACTAACAGCGACATCATTGATAAACCAAACTGTTTATTTTATTTTACTTGAAACTGACACACAGTGGGTCAGTATACGGGCCGATAGCCTATCCAGGTGCACAAAATTCATTGAGAATAATTTTCGAATGAAAAATACGTATAATACAACTTTTATAGTCTTCATTAAGTCAATATTTAATAGAAAATTAAAATTGAAAATCATAATTCCATAGACGTAATTAAAATCTAACAATAATATTTATTAAAAGGAAACTAGTATGGAAGTATTCAAATTTATTTAATCTATTTCCTCAACCTTATAACCAACATCATTAAAAAGTTCACTCTGTGATTGAAATCCCTCATAATCGCTTCTTAACTGCAATTTGAATTTCCCTTTTAATTCCTTCTTTTTTTTTTCTTTCCTTTTGTCTACGCAGTCGGTAAATATTTACTCCCTTCTAAAATCCATAACCTCCTAAAAATGTACACCTTCAAAATTTTGTTGGCGCAAGTTGCGCCATGCAGATCCCTCTGAGCACCCCTACTAGATTGTTCCTAGTGCACTTTGCAAGACCAAGACCAAGACCAAGACTGGTTTAAAAAATGGATTTTTTGAGTGAAAATTAAGGCAAAATAGTTACTAATACTTGCAAATTTTAGTTACTGTATGTAAAGAATTAGTATAACCAATAAACTTTTGCATTTAACTCTTCCAATGTTTCATTCGGGCTTTACAGTAAATTACAGTTTTAAAAAATTACAGTGATATCTCTATATTAATATGCTAATAGATAACTACAAGACCATTGCGAGACTCTTGCGCAAGACCAAGACTGAGTTAGCAACCAAGACTCGTCTCGGTCTCGCATTTGGGCAACACTAATTATAGCCTGTATTAATTATAAGCTCATTGTTTTTTCGAATCAAGCAGAAAACATTATTCGGCCTCCCTGTTCTATAAAAACCTCGAAAAGACTGATGGTTGTTATAAATTGTTATCAGGTCTAGAAAATATGATTCAGCTATGACACATTTCTCTAAAAAAAAAAGAAGTCATTTTCTGAGCATTTTTCCAAAGATTATTTATTTTGTATGTAAATAAATATTGTAAACCAGTTTTTTTTAAATATAATTCATAACGCTTTTTAACATTAAAAAAATTTCATAAATATTCAAAAATAAACCCACGCTTAGAAATAAAGGAAGGAAGAGCTAAAAACACAATTTTCTTTCAGTAGTTTAAAACATAGTATTTTTATAAAAAAAAAAAAATATTAAAAATCAGGTAATGAGACTATGTGTCTGTGACACTTCCAGAACTTTTGTTTACGTTTTCTGAAATAATTAGAAAAAACAATTCTTGGCCCAAAGCTTCGCCAAACTAGATGATTATTTTTTTATAGAATATAAAATTTCCATAAAATAAAAAAACAATGGTAGCGGTGAGATACCAGGAAAGGTATTTCATAGACCATTCTTTGATAAAACCCATTTTTAAATTCGATTCTTACCAACATCAAACTGATTGAACCAATATAATATAATATTATAGACTATATATGTGTTGTTTATGTATTTCAAAGGTTTGATCATAGACATTTTTTAAATGCAATCGTAACCAACATTAAACTAATTGAACCTAAATTAATCCAGTGGAAAAGAACGATAATTAACTGAATTATCAAAAGCAATCTTAAGCAATAACGTACACAGGATTTTTATGAACTATTTGTCAACTGGTGGGACTGAAGGTCAATTGCTCGCTCAAACCTCCCTCTTTCGTATTGTGAGAGTTCAAAAGAACTTTGAAATTTTACTAGGCCACTTTTTAAGTTACCAACTATCTATAAAGAGGATGTTATGTTATATTTCTCATATTTTGAATGTTGTTTTTTCCCTTCTAGGTTGGCAATCGGTTCCACTGTGAGACAGCAGAAGGAAAATATAAAAACAAGATATAAAAATACTAGCATAGTAAAATAACTATTATATATTTGTTTTTCCTATAGTTTCTGGAATGTCTAAACACACCTTTAGACAACTGACTGAATCCATCAGAAGAAATCATCATGAATCGTTAATGTACACCTTTGTCAACTCAATTATGAAAAAAATGTCGAATTAATGGAGTGTTAAAGTAAAGGAGAAAATATTAATAATATATCACTTTATGCCTTTGCAATAATTCAATTTTTTCTGAAACATCATGCATCATTTTTATACACTTGACCCTTCATAGTCCAAAAGTCGAGTCGAAATTTAGTTATTCGAATAATTGTTTAATCGTCCTGAACTTTTAGTAATACGATTTTATAATATCCATTCTCAGCATTAAATTTTTACTAGTATGGCAAATCAAAGAGAAGACGACCTTTCGATATAGCGAATATTAAAAGGTAAAACCGAATAAGTAAAAAATCCATCATGTAAAGTTCATTTGTTTCAAGTAGCATGAAACTGAGCATATCCCTTATACCACCCCCCAAAAGAAAAAAAAAAAATGTCTGCCGAAGCTAGAAGTGGGCCTGGCACTAGTGTTGTCCAGATGCGAGACCGAGACGAGTCTTGGTTGCAAACTCAGTCTTGATCATGGTCTTGGTCTTGCGCAAGAGTCTCGCAACAGTTTTGCAGTTAAGTAATCGATCAATCGATAGACAGCGATTTATGCTCAGTTTAGAAACGACCTGATGTGTTCTAGCTGAAGGTAAGAAGTGCTGTAACATTACTAAACACATGAAAAATGTTTAGAGAAATACCTACCTATTGAATTGTTGAATTTCGAAACAGATATAAATAGTACAAGTTCCCATACTCATTGCTGAGCTCATCGATGAACCCAGCACTGAGTTCAGGAACTTAGACATATATACAGAAAGTAAACTGAATATAAATATTTAAAGTTAATTGCGAAATAACAACACTAATGTTTTATCCAGTGGATCCAAAAGCCGATGGAATTGCTGAGGCAATGGTAATTCAATCGATGAGTTTAAGAACTTACCCAAATATTTATGTATGTTTGCTGAAAATATTATTGCCTAATTTTTTTTAAAATATTGCCACAGAATATATGCAAATTCCATTAATTCCGAAATATTTTTAAAGTCAATTGTAACAAATAATTTTTTTTATTAAAAATTTAATGTGCCTTTCGTTAAAAATAAAAATATGATGAATTTTTTAATTTTCCATAAAATTGATAACGAATAATTAACTAGAAAAAAAAGGCATCCCATACTACATTGTCAGAGATTCAGTAAAGGGGGAGGAGCCTTTTTCATTTATTTCAATACATATAATAATTCTTAAATGAATTCAACTGAATCAAACACTCTGAATAATACATAAGAATATATATTTCTTTGTGCAAAATTGCAAAACACATTTGTTTTAGAGTTAAATTGTATAAAAAATATATCTATATTAGCGCAAAATTGAAAAATAGATCAAAAAAGGTGTTATAGGATTTTGTAGTTTAAATCTACTACTTAAGATCGGCATAAATCTTTTGAGAACTCTGTTTTTCCTTAAACATAAAAAAAAGGATAAAATATAAAGGAGCCTAGTGATAGCCTGTGATTAAGCGCTCATGAACTCGATCTCAATTATTCATCCACTTGACAACTCTTCGGTTAAACGATCTTGTAACAATTATTAGAGATTTAATTTTCGATTTTTTTCCTACCAAGGTGTTGTCTATTTAGATATCCGAGGAAACAACAGCTGATTAGCTATCTTCTACTCGAGAATTAATTGGGAAATTCGCATGTGAAGAGTTAGCTTCAGTCTTCTATTACAGGTGTCACATGTTTGCTATCTCAGTAGCTCCAATTGCAGTAGTAAGTATTTCTGGCATATAATCGACGATATTTCAGTTTACTCAATATTAATACAATATCTACAGCATTTTTGTTCCATAACGCATTTACAATGCGTATAATAAACTATACAACAAACATTGCTCATGTATTTTCGTTAGTAACATTTTTTTTATCTTAAACTATCTCAGAATAATTCCGTTAGTTGAAAAAATGTATGTAAATTTAATTAATTTGAATTTCACTTAGAATTTCGTTCCTTATAATTTTTTACTTTGTTCTTTTGCACAATACTTGTATTATTTTGTATAAACATATTTCTTTTTTATTATTTTATATTTGAAGGTGCGTTTAGACATTTCAGAAACTATATGAAACACAATTATCTAACTTAACAACATTATTGCTAAACCAAACTATATATTTATTTTTCTTGATACCAACAGCAGATGGAAAATATCAAAAACAAGAAACAAAAATACCAGCATAGTGAAGTATCCATTTATATATTTGTTTGTCTCATAGTTTGTGAAATGTCTAAATGCACCTTAAAATATATTATTAGATTAAGCAAAACTAATTCTTATGATTTTTTATTCTTTCAATTACTGTCAAGTTTTTATTATATCAAATATGTTTCATTTGATTTTTGCTTTCACTTGCCAATATATAGGATATATGGTAAGAAAAAGTATTGCGATCGTGATCATTTTCGAACATGAGTTTTCAATGGAAATACATTGTTGGAAATTTTGACAAGAATCGTCCCCAAGAATTTGGTCACTTATAAAACTATGAGAAAGGTGTGTAAATAGCAAAAACACATAAACAAATTTAACGGTTTGAATTTAATATTACGAAAGGAAAAAATAAACACAAGTGGAGAGAATATTATTTGAATAGAACTTGCCTAAAGTATTCGATAACAATAAAAACTTGTTTTTCTAGAATAAGCTGTTTTGTTAAAAAAGACATTTATTGTTATTGTGACTTGCATTCTCATACAATCTTCAGTCTTTTAGTATACCTTCTGGCTTTGAAGTGAATCGTTATAATTTCATTATTATTATCATAAAACTAAAATCTGGATATCACATTAACTCGAGTTAAAATCCGATGAGAAAGTTGTCTTTGTTATCCTCTTTGAAAAAAACTATCCGGTGTGATAGTAAACCTTAGATATACAAACGCTCATTATAGAACAGGTAAGAAAAAATATTTCTATTAAAGAATTGAATGTTTCTTGATTTTTTTAGAAAAATTATGTGCCCCCAAAATAATTTTTTGTGATAAAAAAAAAACCATTAACATTAATATTTGAACGCTCATAAATCTGAAGTTTTTAAGTTATTTTTAAATTTTCCTTAAAATTATTAGGAATTTCCATTTCAATGCAGCATTTTATTTTTTTTTTCTTTGCGTTGCACATTATTTTAATTCAGAAACTTAATGCAAGGGTTGTTTAGATTTCGATATATTAATATAATAAATTAAATAGAATATATGATTTTTGAACGCTTTTAGGTGTTAATTACACAATTATATTTTTGGTTTTTACTGCACGATTTCGCAAATTTTGAGTTTTTTGCTACACGTCTTTCGAATTTGAGTTTTCAAAGGAAATACACGGTTTAAGTTACATTGACAAGGGAAGGTTACGTACAAGGAGTCACCGAGTTCAATGAATCTTGTTTAGGTGATACTAGATCGAAAAATATTTGACCCATGTCCGGGGGTTCTTGTCAATGCACTTTAGGAGCCGAGATAAAAAACATTTTATTATTTTTTTTATGTCAATGTTTTCTGACTGCTCTACATGGATTTCCGAGTTATTGTTTATCAATCTATTTATTTTTTCTTGTTAAAATAAGCAAAAAATATTCCTAATTTTATTAAATGAATTCTAATGTATAATAAATTACAAAGACTCAAACAAGGTTCTAGTAAAGTAAATTTTTATCATTAAAAAAACGATTCTGATCCGGTTTTAAAATCCGAATCATTCCGAGAAGAACAAGGATAGTTTCGGATTTGTAATTACAGTAGCCCCCATAAATTTTCAATTGGATTAAGATCCTGTGATTGTGGAGAAATTTTGAAAATTTTTCGAACGTTATACAGCAACCATTATTTGGTTTTATGGCCGTGTGCTTGGACTCGTTGTTCTGCTGAAACATACATGTATTCTCCATTCTCCATTGCATTCTCCTCACAATTTTATTTAAGTTGCATCGCAAAACATTCACATATTTGTCAGCATTCATAATCCCGTCAATAAAGGCTAGTTCGCCAACTCCTTTGGCACCCATGTAGTTCCTAACCATAACACTGCCGATTCCGTGCTTTACTGTGGTCTGTAGATTTTGGGGTTCAAATGCCTTCTCTTTTTTCCTCCAAACATATTTTTTTTCTCTGTCTGATACTAATATATTATTATACTTGCTTTCATCCGAAAACAACACATTTCTCCAAAATGTGTAGAGTTTATTTCCATGTTCTCGGACAAACTCCTATCTTTTTTTTCTGTTTATTTCGTTTATAAAAGGATTTTTTACTTACCGCTCTGCCTCTATATTCAGCTTCATGTAGCCGATTGCTTATAGTTTGGGGTATTGAAGATTTGTCATAATCTGACACGAAGTAAGCCGAAACTTCTCGAGCACCTTTTAGGATTTTATGGGATTAAATTTGGGATTTTTTGCCACTGAAAGCAAAATTTTACGAAATTTTCGCATTGTCTACAAGAGTTTTCTCCCTGGGTGGGATTTATTGTTCACTGATTTGGATATAAATTTTTATATAATGTATTTCACTGTCACATCAGATAGTTTGAACTTTTTTGCAATATACCACAAACTTAAATCTTGTCGAAAATATTTGATCTGATCTTTAAGATGAGAACTCAATTATTTGGACCTACGACTCATAGCCGAAGAAATATTTTTTAGTACTGGACCAAACAAGCAATTTCTCCTGCAGTTTTATCCTTTAATCTTCTGGAGTAACGGGTTATAAATAGAATGTTAAAACACTATTTTAATAACATAAATTATCGTATTACTAACATTTCCTCTAGTGTACGAATACTTTTTTTGTGTGCGCATTATTGAAATATTAATTTTATAAAAGTTATAAGAGATTTAAAATGTTGGCATTAGATAAAATTAATGCAAAACGAAGTTTTTAATTGATATCTGCCGTTCTTTCAAGTTAAAACAAGTTATAGTTAACCATTTTGCCAAAATGCGGGATGTACGAATACGTTTTTTTGCCCACTGTTCGAGTTTGTTTAAAAATAACTTTATTTATTTTATAAAAATCTGGTGCACACAACTTTTACTTACCGCTCTACTTTGAACAGAACTTATTTCCTGGCAATGTTATTTAATATAAAATCTTTGAAGTGCATATTAAGCTTAAAGCTTAAAGATCAATCAACAAATCATCAACACCATTAATATTACAAAAAGTCTATTTATTACATCGACGGTAGGCAATAAAAATCTAGTTACTCCATCTGCTTTTATAAACCACATAACTTCAGTCTCTTAGCCTTTCAGTTGACAGAATGACTAACTCAACATTTTTGAAGTAATGTTATTTTTGTAATATTTCCAATTGGAAAAGTTATATCTATACAGACAGTAAGTTGATTCCAGAGTAGGTGATTGCAGTGATGAAATATCGAACTGTGGATAAAAGTATAAATTTTGCCACTAGAAACATCACTAAAATTAATAATAAAGAATGTTGAAATTGGAGTTAGTCATTCTGTCAACCGTGTTCAGAAATCAACCTCTGAAACACACATAAAAACAAAATAATTGTACAATTCAGAACTTCACCACCATTTTATGGCCTCCATTTTTCTGCAAACCATCCCTGTTGAGTTAATCTGCTCATTGGTGAAGTGTGCACACAGTCAGGTACTTTCTTCAGAAATCAAAAGGAAAGAAAATATGAGTTGCTAAACCTCAAGAGAACAGCCTGATGAAAGAAGTATGGGGAGGAAGAATGAACCATGAAGTTCAATTTCAGACAGCAAGTGAGTCTACATAGACAATTCAATTTCAATCAAGCAAAATCACTTCTAACATTAGAATGCCACTACTAAAAATTGCAATTTCACGATCAGTAATATGTACTTAATCTGTCAAGAACCACAAAATTGTACAAAGGCACAAAGTTTATTTCTTTCAAAGGAAGGAGATGATCCGGGGTGGCGGTCATAAATAGCCTAAATAGTGACAAAACTATTTTATTAAAAGCCAACGTTTCGACCCGACTTTGTAGGTCTTCTTCAGGGAGGTTTGTTCAGGAAGGAGTTTCACTTAGAACTGAGTTTCAGTTTACATTAAGTAAGAAAATTTCATTGGAAACATGTGATTTACGTTAAATAATGTTATTTTTCTGAAATTATTATTTATATTTTTTTGGTCACTCTACGTTACCTTCTACAACTTTATTTATTTGATTTTTTTTCTCTGAAATTCTCCGCTTTCCAACGATATATTATACGATTACCTTCTGACTGTTATTTCCGGAGATCATTTTCAACCTGAATAAGCATTGTTCATTTTTTTCCACTTTTCAATTATCATATTCTTTCAAACTTCATATTTAGCCATTTTTTGTAGTTAGTGTCAATAAAAGAGAGTTATTGTTTTTAAATAAACTATATTAAAGGTACTTTAGAGGAAGACGTATGCGAACATTGGGCATTTAAGCCCTGTAAAGTGACATCAATGGGTCTAAAACCTAAATGATATTAAAAACCAGTTAATTATACAATACTTCACCAAGTTTAATCAAAATTATTTGAGCCATTTTTGAGAAAATTGTAAAAATGTGTTTCACGTAGATATAATGCGGCACTTCCGGTTAGCCGATTTTAAGAAAAAAGTTGCTGTAACATCTGAGGTATATAAAAACCTTAAATATGCAATTTCACTTTCTTACGACTTTTGGTTTTTGAGCTAGACTTCTAACACACACGCGCGCGCAAACGCACACACACACCATTTTGCGATGTTGCGGGACTTGGTTATTTGGACTCTTGAGACCTCAAAACATATATTTCTGTTGAAAACTCAGATTCCAAAATTTTCAGATCGCAATACTTACCCTTACTATATATTTCATATATAGGTAAGTGAAAGTAAAAATAATATCCGATATATAAAGTCATAGAAGTTTTCGAGTTCAGGAGAATGCTCAAAAGCCTATGACTGATTGTTGTAATTAATAATGTTTACTTTTATATTATTAATTAGATGATAAATCTTTCCCTAGAAACTAAATTTAATTTCCATAAAAACTGTTTTAGAAATATGAAGAGATCAAAATATCATTCTTAATTATGAGCTTCTATGATTTTAGTTTCCATTTAGCAAACATTACTCTATGAACTCCGAGTAGATATAGCCATTCTGCACATGAACTAAGTGACATAAATGTGAACTGGACAAGTAGACCGAGAGTTCACAAAAAATTACTAGTATAGAGCAATTCTAATTCCATTTACAGTTGAATAGACATGTAAATGAACAGTTACAGATAAATATCATAATAAATGGTGTATCTTTCAATTCAAAACCAATTATGAATAATCATAACACAAATACCTTAATTATATTTCTGCAGGTAAATCAGTCAGTTGGAAGAATTATATCTCAATAAAAAATGCCTTTACAAGATCTTATCAGTGAAGCATGGAGGGTTACTAAATACTACCTTAAATTTTTTATGTTGCTTTTATGGATGTTGTCCACATTTATCATAATTCCATTCATGTATCGAAAACCAGGACATTACAAAAATAAAGTGTAAGTAAGGCTGTTAAATCTGTCTGCTAATATTATTTATAATTCATACAATAATGTTGGTGATAAAGTAATATATAGCAATAATGTTTAAGATTTTTTCCCCTCCATCTTATAGATCCTAATCTTAAAAATGTTAAGAATCATTCAAATTAAAACAAGTAGTCTAAGTAATAATTTTTAATTAAGACATATCTCCACATTTTTGTCTTCGTATATTTATATAATCTTTTTTACACTTATTATGGTTACTTTATAAATTGTTTAAACAATGTACATCAAGGGTAATTTACCAGTCTAGTAATGAACAGTTTCGAACTTTTCAGAGTGATTAGGAATCCACAGAATTTCATCACCCCACTCTAGATTTCCATCTCTCCAATTTATTGTAAAAAATAAATATTGATGTAATGACATAATCTCTGCCCTAGTATATTTTTTATGACTCCTGTACAAATTTTCTCCATTTGACTGTGAAATAACAGAGACATTATCAATTTATAGGTTTTTCCGTTTTTAATCTTAAAGTAAAAAGTTAATGAATTGATCAAATAACCATTGCTAATTGTTCCTGTCAGTTTGCTACCATCCAATTATTTACTCTAACTTTAGTGACCATCGGTTGCAATAATTTCTCTATCAGTGAGTTATGGATTTTCTATATTTCTCTAGTTAGATAGTCTATTTTTCTAGGTTGTAAACTATGGTCTTGGAACATTACACTTATGTACATCTTAATAACTGAAATAAGTAATTCAGAAACCAATTAAAACATTTGGAAACAAACTGAGACTTTCATTGTTAGTTACCTAGGTATTTTTTCAGAACTGGGCTTCATAATTCATAATCAAACTCAGTTTCTAAAGATTCTTGAATGGAATGTGTTCTATTATGTTCAAATCACCTGCAGTGGTCAGCAATAGCAAATCCAGGCTATATTTTATTATTTTTTTTTTTTAAGGAGAGAAGAGGGTAATTAATATAACTGTAATTACTCTAGAAGAAAAAGAAAGAAAACATATAAAATGATGTTTAAGTTGTCTTTGAAGGCTTTGTTAAGAAAAATTCATTAAATTTACTAGCTGTATATGCGTTATAATTTAAAAAGAGTACTCATATGGTAATTATTTAAGTATTTAACTCTCAAATAAATCCACAGTACCAAATATGGACTTATGAAACAAAAAAATTATATTTCTGTTTTGGGAGCTTCAATCTGAAAGCCCCTTCCTCCTTAGATCCACCAGTGGTGGCCAGTATCTTTGTCATGAGAACCTTCGAAGATTTTTTCAATGATTTAATAATTTTCAGCACCTCTCCATTCAGTGAATCATAGCCAATTCAAGATTTAAACAATGGTGGTGCGATAATATTATGCATAATCTGTGATTTTTCTTCAATGTAGATTGAATATTTTATTTATATATATTTATGCTCTTACTATTTATAAAACTATTCACTTCATAAAAATTGATAGCCAATAAAAAGAAAGAAAAAGAAAACAGCTATGATCCAATTGAAGTAAATCTAATTTTTTAGTAAAATATTTAAATCATATAATTGTGTCCCCAATAAAGTTGTTCATGATGAATTTATAATCCTTATTTTCTTAATATATATATTGTTTTTTTTGTTTTTTTTACAGTGTATTATATTATTATGCTGCAGTGATTTGCAAAATTCTCGGAATTAGGTGGACAGAGAAAGGAGTAGAAAATATTGTTGCTGATGGCGGCTCAGTAGTGGTTATGAATCATCAAAGCATGATAGACATCTTTGGTAAATCATTCACATGTTAATAACTTATCTATATCTCTGTAAATTTAGAAATTTATAGAATAGAAAAATAATTTTATTCTGGAACAATGTCCCTTAATAATAACAGCTGTGCACAGAAGCATATAAATTATTTCTTGCCACAATACCTCAAATATTAAACAAATAAAAAGAAAAAATAGATCATCTAAAATATTGATTAAAACTAAAGAATGATAAATATATGTTTATATATCACTTTTAGTATCTTGTTTATAAACAGACCGAAATGTTATTATTGATTGTTCATTCTTTCATGTTTTCTCAAAACCGTTATCACTTGGATTGTAATAAATTTGTTAAATAGATAATTTTTGCTACAGGAAATATACAAATAAACTTACTGTGCTGGTGCATATCTTAATACAATTTAAGAAAATTATATGATTTTGGGTTTTTTAAATTTTATTTTAACTGTAATATTCCTTGATTCCAGCTACCAAATCACTAGCAAAGCTGAAAGTATTCACACATTGTGTGGTTAAAAAAGAAATATGGTACCTCCTTCCACTTGCTATTGTCTTCTGGCTTACTGGTTCGATTTTCATTAACAGATCTAATAAAAAACAAGCAATGGAGACAATGAATAAATTACCTCAAGCAATAATTAAAGACAAGGTATAATACAGCTATCAACCATATTGTTTTTCTTCTTATTTCTCAAATTTTCTGATTTATTCCTTAACATCTCAAGACCTTTATTTTTATCAGAAATTAAGAGTTTTGTTGATATTTCTTGAAGAAAGTTATAAATTTTCAGACTGGTTTATTTTATGAATATTAATATTTTTATATTTATTTAAATGTAATAAAATGCTTTCTAGTAATGAGAAAAGTTTATTAACAGTCAAATAAAGCAACTTTTGACTATATAATAAATAAAATCTACTGTTTAAAAACCTGATACATATTACCAACAAATGAGTTGTGATCTATAGAAAAGTTTAAAAGAATGTTAAAATATTAATAGTTTCCCTCAAAATTAATTATAACATAAGATATATAAATACATTTTAATACTGAATAATAGTTCAATTTATCAATCTAAAAATTATTTATTTATAGAAGAGTATGTGTAGTTCTCTTATTTTTTTCTCAGAATAGACTTATAGTATTCCCTGAAGGAACAAGAAATCAAGGTTTCACGGATGGATTCCTTCCTTTCAAGAAAGGTGCTTTCTATGCAGCGATCTCAGCTCAGGCTCCAATTCAACCAATTGTTATTCAAAAATATAAATTTTTGGATCATCAAAAACATAGGTTTGATGAAGGTGAGTAATAATTATTTTACCAACCATTTGCGAACTCTACTAAAATAGTAAAAATAAAAATTTATTTCTTTATTTTCAAAAACATAAACATCTAGATCTACAGAGAAGAGTTGGCAAAAGTAGTGCAAAGATTGACACAATATGAAAAATGCATTTAATTCTGTTAGTTTGACCTTTATTTGAGATAACTTACAAAATAGTCATTATAATAGACTAAAAATGGAAAAATAAAATTATGTTAGGTCTAGTTTCAATTTTTCACACTTAAATCACTTCATGTGAATGACATCTTAAATGGAATACCTAGAATTAATATGGCTGAGGGAGTGACTACTGCTTATTTTTTTTTTTTTTTGGTGGGGGTACGGCGCTTTCAGGCTGAAGCCTCCCTCTCCCAAAATAATTAATTAATCATATTAAAAATATTGTAGCTATATCAAGAATTTAATTTTTTTTTTTTTAGTAATAGCAGCAATCCAATTTTATTTCTATGATTAATTGGTTTTGAAAAACAATTTAATTTCCCAATTAAAATGATTAATCTAAAAAAAAAAGTATATATGACAAAGTGAGTAATTAAATTTGAAATAAAGTTCCTTAAGCTCGTTTATGTAATGAATTTGCAATATTTCATAAGTGATTTTATTATTTTTATTCAGTTCCACATTGAATACTTAGCAAGTGTAGATATTTAATTTCATATAATACAGAAATTACTTTTATTTATTTATTTTTTTTTTTTTTAGGAGAAACTGTCATTAGTATTTTACCTCCTATTCCTATGATTGGTTTGAAAAAAGAAGATGTCAACTCTCTAATCCAGAAAACCACTGAAATAATGCTAAAGGAGTACGAAGCTCTAAACAAATCTCATTAAATTAGTTTAATAACAAACGAATTGTCATTAATTTAAGTTAAAGCAACAACTGTAAATCTTTATAAATAAAATTATCTAATGTGAAATGGATAAAAATTTAATAAATGTATTATTTTATATCCATATCTTCAATTCTTACTTTCACTTACCTATATATGAAATTTATAGTTAAGGAAAGTATTGCAATCGTGAAAATTTTTGAATCACAGTTTGAGTCCAAATAACCAACTCCCACAAAATGTCCTGTGTGTGTGTTAATAGTCCAGCTCAAAAATGAAAAGTATATCCAAAGCCAATCAGGTATATTATCCTACCAGCAACGTAGGGCACAGAGAAGTTGGCAAAGAAACAAAAAGGCACATATACAAGTCGTATACCTCCCAACCCTCACGTATGGAAGCGAAAGCTGGATTATGCTGGACAAGCAGGTTAGCCGTGTGACAGCAGCCGAGATGAAGTTTCTGCGGAGAACTGCTGGAAAGACCAGGAGAGACCGCCTCACAAATGAACACATAAGAGAGGACCTGGAGGTGGCGGAGCTAAGGACTTTACTGGAAAACCGACAGTTGAAGTGGTTTGGCCACATTTGTCGGATGGAGGAGGAGAGAGATCAGCGGAAGCTTCTGGAAGCTCGACCTACTGGGAGGGGGCCGAGGGACCGCCCCAGAATTTCCTATCAGGAGTATATACAGCGGATTGGAGAGAAGAGAGGCAAAACCCTCTAGGAAATGAGGCGGCTTGGTAGGGACAGAGAGGCATGGCTGCATTGGATTGAGGCTCCTCGACGCTAGTAATGGCACGAAGAGGAAGATAAAGAAGAAGAAGAAGACACAAAAATGATCATGTTTGGATTATTAAACTGTACACTCATTTCAGTCTAACAATTTATTTCTGTATATTTTCAATCCAATGAAATCACTAATTTAATTAATTGATAAAATAAAATTAACACTAAACAAAAATTGGCTGTTATGAGTAACAAAAAGAAGTGCTATCTAATTATTTTTAAGGGAGATTAATTGAATTGAATTATTATTACTACATGGGTCATGTTATTATTTAATTAATCAAATAACAACAATTATTTATATTTTTCGTTATCAATATTGTAGTTTTTGTTTTTTCTCAATTTGTTTGAATATAAATATATAAATACACTGTCCGATTAATTCATCTTTGGTCTGAACAGTTATCTTTTTATTATAGAACAATATGGCTCAGAATAAGAGTTAATTAATTTAATTAAATTAATAAATTACTTTACCCAAATAACTATTATATAATAAATACAAAAGGTAGACAAAATAATTATCAACAGCCTAAATAACAAGGCCAAGAAAAAAAGAACACACATCCAAACATATTCAAATGATCTTTTTTATTTCTTGTGTGCTCCATTTAAAGTTAGAAAAATACTGTAAATATACATTTTTTAAATTTTATATTGAATTTTCATGATTTATTCTTTATACATTTGAAAAGTATGATACCAATCAATGATGTTCCTTTTGGATCACTGGCAAATCAATGAGGTTGGGGCCTTTTGAGCTGAAGCTCTTTTCAAAATGGAAAACTAATTTTTGTTTTTATTAGATCCCCTGTTGGATTTTCAACAGAACAGAAAGGAAAAAAAGGGGAGGTTAGTGGAATCTAAATAGTGGTGGATTGATACTGCAGGAAGTTGAGTGGAAATAGAAAGTTGGGTCACGCAACATGAGATTTGGCCACTCATAGGAGGCCACTTATACTTTGTTGAATTCTCAATTTATGATTATTATTAATTTTTTTTTATTATTGTAAATTTGTTGGAAATATCAATATTGTAAATTTTGAAAAAAGTAAAACAGATAAAAAAAAAAAATAAACATATTGTGTCTTTAAAAAACCTTTGTATTTATATAAAAAAAAAAAAATGTCTGTCAATACAAGGATGTAAGATTTTTATGATAGTTCCAAGATAGCTGAAAAAGTGGATAAAAATTAGGAGAGAGCTGAATTACACATATGTTTTAAAGAAAAGTATGTTTGGCTAGAGGAATTGATGATTGTATATTACGAGAATAAGTGGGAGGGGGAGAGGGCTTTCGGGCTGAAACCCTCCCAAAATAGTAAAATGTAACCATGTTTAATGGTAAAAATATTTTTAAATTATCTTTTAAAGTTTTATTGTTCATGTAATTGCAGTTAATAGAACTTCAAGAATCACTTAAACACCATTTCATATATCTACGTAGTATCTTTCTTTTTTTTTCATTCGGGCTGGAGCTCCACCAAAATTAAATCCTGGATCCACTACTGATACCCCATCAGATCCTGAGCCCTAAGCTGCAACCTCAGTGGCCCACCCCCCTCTAATCTCTGTCTTGTTGTCAGCAGCTTAAGATTTAATTTAAGCCATTATTCCCACGTTGCCAAAATCATACATAAGTGCTTTCATGGAGGATAAAAGAACAGAATGGTCAACCAGCTGAATTTTTAAATGGTTTTTAATTTGTTATAGGCGTTTCTCTCATATCAATGAATACTTAGTTGTTGCTATTTTTAAGTGATAAACTTTATTTTTCAATCTCAAGATTTTTTACTAAGTAAATTACGTCCCTTCCTCTTAAAAATAAGTATATTATAAATAATCATATTTTTTTTTTTTTTTAGTATTTCTAGAGAAAAAATGAGTAATTGAGAGTTCCAACATTGTTGGAGCATAACTCAGAAAATCCTTCTTTTAGTGCATGACATACTTATAAGTATTAAAACGTTGAGAATTTTTTTTTTACCTATAGTAGTAGTGGATTTAAGATTGATTTTTTTTGTGGGGCTAATTTTTATTTTTTTTTTATTTTAATAATAGTAATTACAGGAACAATAATTTTTTAGGGCTAATTAAATAATTACCTAAAATGTTAATATTTTTTACTTAACACATTTTTACATTTGGTAGTTTATTCATTGGTCAGCCATTTATTACCGTATTTATTATTTATCAGCTCATAGCAACCTTGTTATAACCTCCCCTAACCTGCTCCTGTCACAAGTTGTGTCCCACACGTGACAATTGATGAATTGGATATATTTCAGCCTTCCAAGTGAAATAAGACAAATCAGTAATGGAATATATATCTCCAGAAGCAGCCTTTGCAAACACGACCAAAACAATGTAAGATTATTGTATTTAGAATGTTTCAACATTGGATGTAACTAATACTAAATCTATGTTTTCATACATATTATAGATTATGCTGTGAATGCGGTATTGCAATTGAACCAAATCCAGCGAATATGTGTGTAGCTTGTTTAAGAACTCAAGTAGATATCACCGAAGGTATTCCTAAACAAGCCACTATTCATTTCTGCAGAGGCTGTGATAGGTTGGTTGTTCGAAAATAAGTCAATAAACTTAATTGTTCCTTAATTTGTTCTAAAGTTTCATTTTTTAATTCAGGTACTTTCAACCACCTACAGACTGGATTCATTGTGCTCTAGAATCGAGGGAGCTTCTACAACTATGTTTAAAAAAATTAAAAGGTCTCAACAGAGTGAAATTGATAGATGCTGGTTTTGTTTGGACCGAACCTCATTCAAAACGGATCAAAGTTGGTGATATTCTAATGGTGTTACTTTAAATATAATAAGATATTCATGGGATCATTTAATTAAATTATAATTCACTGATTGTAGGTGAAATTAACAGTGCAAGGTGAAGTCCTGGGAGGTGCAGTTCTTCAACAAGTATTTATTGTTGAATATACAGTTGCCCATCAAATGTGCGATGATTGCCATAGGACTGAAGCTAAAGATTATTGGAAGGCATTGGTTAGTATATTTCTATTATTAGTAAGTTACTTTAAAAGTGTCGCTCCTCTTTGATGAGTGGCACAAGATCTCATGAGCACGCTATAAATGGAATTCTGAGAATGACTCAGTATTGAGGTGTGTTAATCGTATAGCCTTCCTTTATGGATAATTTAAGACTTTCGCAAACTCTTAGCTGGTCCTGGTACCATTATTTAAGGTTCTCTCCACTTTGATGAGAGGATTGAAATGTTCACAATATAAACTCCCTTTATTTACATTGTGATTTATGACTTCAGCAAACTCTTCACTGATCCTTTTAGTTAATATCAAGATGTTGATCGGCATTAGGTTAGGTTACGAGTTGTCCTAGGCAATCAACAACTTGGTTTCATCATCAGGTACTAGTTCTCAAGAAATCAGCGCGGATTACGTGTGATTCACAATTGCTTCAATCACACTTGTGAGCATGGAATCTCCAAAACTGCTGAATGTTGCTGTCTTTTATGATATCAGCTATTGCTCCCTTTCCGAATAAAAGATAATTTCGACAGCAACCCTGCAAAAACTTGTAAGGACAATTTCTTTGGAAAATGAGGTTTTCTGATGAATCTTGTCCTGACGCATATTCTGATCTCACAAAATGAAATCTGCGATATTTTAATTCTTCTCTATGGCCTTTTGTAAAATCACTGAAGGTATTCCTAAACAAGCCCCTATTCATTTCTGAAGAGGCTGTGATAGGTTGGTTGTTCGAAAAAAAAAATCAACTATGTACTTTTTTATACCTTCCTGTAATTTAAAACCAGCAAATCGTTATGTCAATAACTGTAAGTTACAGTGAAAGTTATAGATTGTATTGTTATTGAGAAAATGTAATAAAAAGCTCAATGAAAGTATGGAATGTATGAAGCGTTTTACACATAGACTGCAGTATCACTTAGCTTTATTAATATACTAAAATCAATTTTTCTCATACACTTTTGTATTCTTTTTTTAAATTTCTTATAAGTTGCGGCATTTCCAGCCCGGCGCCTCGGAGCAAATGTCTGGGTTACCCTGCTCTGGTTACACTGCTTACCACGAAACAAAGCGAATCAAAGAAGAGAGTGGTTATTGGGAATATAATATTAAACGGCCTTCAATTAAACAATCGAAATCACCAGAAAACAGCAAAATGAGCCTGGATGGAAAAAGCTGTAATATCGCCTAATTCCTGATAGTGAGAGACATAGAATTGATTCCATTAATTGGAAAATTTAACTCGAGACAAAAAAAAAATTCTAGTTTCATCTTTTCAAACCAATGAATCTTTGAATTCGCAAGAATCTCAGAAACGAAGTGTTCTAAACATCAGCAGGTTATCTAGAACTTATCCAGCATTCGTGAATCAAACCTTGTGCATATGAAGTTGAGTACGTTTCAAACGAAACTATCATAGACTATTCCAAAGTGCACCTTCAATGGGATACAAAAAGTGAATAACTTGTGTGATCAAATACTCGCTTTTCAGCCAATATTTTAAAATTTTAATTTGAAGTATCGTTTCTCTACATTTTGGAAATTGTCTTTGTTCCTGTCATGATTTGATAATTATTAAAGTTATGGGTGTTACTACAGTAAATTTGATGGTTTTTCCTTAACTAATATCTGTTTTTCAGAATAACAAAAAAGGTGTAAGTTCAAGTAATGGCTCTAAAATATTATATAGTAGAAATGCGATAAAAAAAGTTACATAGAGCATTACACCTTTGTCTTAGGCCGAAAATATAATGCTCATAGAACAAATATTATGCTGTTTTTTTCGTTTCCTGAAAATTTTTAGTTTTTGTTCTTACAGGCTTTTGCAGTGTGGCTGTCAATTTATGATTCATATTATCTGTAAATAATGAATAACCAATTAATTATCTAATAAAACTATCGAATAACAGATAAAAATTATAAATTATTTGCTATCTAGATAAATATTTATTCGAATAATTTCCAACCTTAACGGGACCCGTAGATTTGCCAGTTTGTTGTTCTATACTGTTAACTTATAATTTATTTTCTCATTTTAATCACTATTATTTTTATTGAATGAATTAGCTGCGTAATAATTGTTATTCATAGTGATTTTGCTTAATAATCCGAAAATTGTTGTCTCTAGTAGAAATAAAATAAAAATCGTGTTTATTTGGATATTTATTTCCGAGAAAGGAGGAAACGTAATTATGGAAATGATCAATAAGATAAGTATATATCGTGAAATAGCATTCATTGATGTAATAATTAAAGGTTTTTATATATTACTATTTTTTGTCTACAGTTGTATAATATATGTATAAGTTTGATTAAGGTTATGTGATGTAACACAAATATCGAATATAAGTCTGCTCCTACTGTGTAACTCTACATGGTCATACAAGTACTTTAATGAGGGAAAAGTTATTAGTAACTTGAGAGATCAATCGCCGTCATAATCTCTCAGATGAACATTCAGGATTTCATGAACAAGTGTCACCGAAGTGATCGTGAACCACACATAATTCATGGAGGACTCTTCTGAACTAGTTCCCAGCATTAATGTCATCAATGTTTTCGACTTCTGCTCGATCACAAGGGATAAACAAAACCCTACAGCTCTTTTTCACTTGAGGTCGGGTCCTTACCAGACAATTTGGACACAATTTGCCTTTCTCAGGATTCCATTTATTGTGTGATCATAAGGTACTACGCCACCTATCAAAGTGGAGCAACATTTGTACAGTAGTAGTAAAGAAAGTTTACCAAACGCATATAATACTTTTACTGAACGGAAAAACTACATACTGTATAATGGCTATGTTATACTTGCAGGTAACATAATAAGTAATTAGTTCTCTTTACTGAAAAATATTCATTTTAAGAGTTAGGCAATGAGGCTCAGCTATTTGCAAACTTATACTAATCCAGTATAAGGTGATATAACAGAGATGTATACGTCTTTAGAAACCGAAGGTCGTTCATTTTATAAAGTGTGGTAGACTGATGGCAGCACATAGCAGGTAGGGAAAAATCTCAGAATGCATGAAAGGTCCAGTCGAGAGGAAGAGGAAGTCCAAAGCTGAGATGGGAAGACGCAGTCATGAAGGATGCTGATGTGCTTTGGAGGGAGGCATAGGATCAAGCCATCTGCCGCAGGTTCATTCAGGAGGCCAAGATCCACATCGGGCTGTAGTGCCATTGAAAACGAAAATAATAATATATCCACAAAACATTAATTTTTATTATAAATTTCAATGTTTCTTCTGTATTATCTGAGGCGATTAAGGTATCTCAGGACTATTATCCTTCATTTACCTTTTCAATATACCATAGACAACAATAATAATGATATTTAAATTTCAACATGTGACAAATATTGCATAGAATTCATGGCACGTTCGAGGCTATTGACAAGAATTATATACTATCCCCAAAACATTCAATTTAAAGGATTTATTATGCAATGCCCGGTAGTAAATTCCAAACGGTTTTTTTTTTTAATAGCGGTCAATGAACACAGATTGCCTATTATGGTTCAGGAGTTATTGTTACCTCCAGAACTAATTTCATTAATATGTAAATAATACTTGATATTGTTTTAGAATCATGAGATCGATTATAGAGAATTTATTTTAAAATTATCAATCATAAGATATCTATTTTTATTAACAATTTTGAAGTTAAACATTCTTGTAGTGTACTTCACTTTATAAGTATCTTTTTTTTTTGTATGTGTTTAAACTAATATATTACTGAAACTTGTTTTATTTTTTTTCTTTAGGTTCAAGTCCGGCAGAGAGCTGAAAATAAGAAAACATTTTACTACTTAGAGCAACTGATACTTAAACATAGAGCCCATGAAAACACTTTGAGTATCAAGCCAATTCATGGTGAATATTGTTTTTATTCAAAATTATACCATTCTTTTTGACTTACTGTCTTAGTACAGCTGTACCAACACTCTGGTTTGTTACAACTTCATACCCGTGTATACCCAATTCACTTCAGAAACTTCTTTACCATAATGTTTAAGTTTTAGCTTTGTAGGTTTGAACACAATGTTACATGCTAACTGTTAACAAATATATATGGACTCACTACTAACGATTTCAAGAAACATTTCGTAGACGTAACAATCCATTAGTAGTTAAGTTGACCATTACCAGCACGCCTTAAAGTGTAATATTTAATAATTTCAGAGGGTCTTGATTTCTTTTTTTCCACTGAGGCACATGCTAGAAGAATAGTAGATTTTTTGAACACTGTCATACCTTGTCGGTCTCAACACTCCAAGAAGCTTTTGTCTCATGACGTTCACAGCAATACATATAATTATAAATTTACATTCAGGTATGTACCATTTGGCACCTTTGTATTTTTTAATGGTTTTAGTTTGTAGATATGTTATGATATTTTGCAATAATGGCAGAACTGATTTTTATATTTGATGGTTCAGATTATTCATTGAAATTCCAATAATGTTTTGAAACAATTTCAGCTAAAAGCAGTGACACATTATTGCATAAAATGTGTTTAATCTGTTCATTAAAAAGTATTTTAACCGAATGGTTTGACTGATTTTTAAGTTTGTTGGCTAAAATTGTTCACTGAGTTTCCACAAATGTTTTGAAACAATTTAATACTATACGATCTTAAGGAAATGTACTTTCATATCTTAATCCCATTGGTGGATTGCTCTCGAAATTGACATCTATGAATATTTAAACTTGGCATAGTAGTTGGTTGTCTTCCATTAGACATAATGGCTTCAGATCAATGGATGTTGTCCCATATATCAGTGCATAGTGCATGTCAGCTTCCGAATGAATTTAATTTTCATTCAGAGGTGGGGGCTGACAACTATTCCAAGTTTAAATATTCATAGATGTCAATTTCATTAACAATCTACTAAGATGTTTAAGTAGATGTTTTGTACCATGCAATTATTATTCTTTTATTCTTAGTCCCAGAATAAAATAATTTTTTCATTTCATTTCATATGCAAGTAAATTCCCCTTGGGTAAGATTATTTATATAATCAGGTTTTTTTTAATTATTAATCTTAATAAAATATTAGTGAGTTATTTGGATATAACTGTGTTATTTATTTAGTCAAGCTGAAGTTTTTTTTTTTTTAGAGTTATGATAAGTTTTTAAAGCTATTATAATTTTTATATATTATTATTCATTCACAATTGAAAGAAAACATTAATCCTAAAGTTTGATTATAATAATTTATATTTACTATTAAATCCTTTTAGTTGATTACTGTAAACCTTTTTTTCTTCTCTTTTTTAGTGTTGAACTTGTCCCCATTTCAAAGAACAGCGTGGTCTGTCTTTCAAGAAAAATGACTCATCAGTTCGGTGGTATCAGTCCTTTGTGTTTAGTTCTACGAGTCACAAATAATATTCATCTTATTGATCCTTGTTCGGCACAAAGTAAGTATTTTTGTTATTGTATGATGTACTATTATTCTGCATTTCCAATTGTGAAAACCATATAATTTTATTTTACTACATTCTTTTTTAAAAATCATTTTGATTATATTTTCAGTCACTGAAATATCAGGGAGTCATTACTGGAGAGATCCATTTAACTGTATATTCAATCCAAAACAGCTGACAGAGTACGTTGTTATGGATATTGAGCCAATTAAAGATAAGGAGAGAAAATTTTTCCCTGGCCAAGGTCCCATTTCTAATAAGGTATATTATTTTTTTTTTAATAAATATTTAATAGTTGACCGTTGCATTGTAAAGGAAGGAGATGGTCCGGGGTTGAGGTCATAAATAGGCTAAATAGTGGTAAAACTATATTACTGAAAGCCAACGTTTCGACCCGACTTTGCAGGTCTCCATCAGGGCTAGAACGGACAAGATACAAAAAGATAGAGAATTGTGGCAATTACATAATATTTAGACATAATTTATAAACAATGTGAATAAGCTTATTAAAATTATAAACAGTAAGTACAATAAAATATGGACTAAGTAAGCTGAGTAACAAGATCCTAAACTGAAGTAGATAGATGCTAACAATTGTTGTAGTGTAATATATAATAAATGAAAATGTGAATATACTTCTACAAAATCTACAGGAGAGAAATAAAATTAGAGACTTACAGGTGTGTTCATCTAGGAGTTTCACTTAGAACTGGAAAGGCAGCGGTAAGGATAGCAGGTATAGGGAAGCTAACATGTGTTAACTAAGTAAACTTGAAAAACCCAGGAAATTACAGTATCTAGAAATTTTGAAGATATGGATGGATACAATGGAAAAAATACTATATCTATGAAATATTAAATTATAAATATACATATAAAATAGAGTTGAGAGATGTGAGAGGTATTTCATGATTCTAGATCAGAGTACAATGTGAATAAACCCAAAATTGGCAAAAGTAAAATATAAATATAGAAATAACTTCATTTACATATATTGCAGAGCTGACTTAAAAGTATAGAGAGGGAAAAAATTAATACTTATAATTATATTTGGTTGTACATATGTAAGAAAATTACATTTGAATATTAGATAATGAGACACGGTTAATAGGTAAAATTAATACAAATTGAAAAAAGGATGATCATACATTGATGTAGAGTGTAAATGTAAATTTAGAATAAAATAGAAGAGAGATCATACAAAGAAGGAATATTTAGAATAATGAACAATTAAATAAATTAATTAATAAAAATTGAGAGTAGATGAAAATAATAGAATAGAATATTTAAGTTATTTTTCACTTATAAGACTTAAAATGTGTCTATATGTAAGAGAAATACATTTTTTGTCTATTTTGTGATTAAGAGGATTCTGTTCCATGTGAATGTGGATAGATTCGGAAATGAGTCTTTTTTCATGGTTAGGGACCGTGGAAAGGATAGAGGTTTTTTCAAAATTAAATGAGTGGTTGAGGGTTAGAGCATGTTCTGATAGTTTGGAGGCGGAAGGATTCCGGGAAGTTATGGACGTTTTATGTTGGGAAATGCGGGTTTTGAGATAGTTTTTGGTTTCACTAATATAGGAGCTATTGCAATTAGGAGTAGAGCAAGGTATCCGGTAAACTACATTGGATCAGTGTTGTAAGAGTATGGGATCCTTCAAGTTGGTGAAAAGGAAAGAAATTTTGTTATGGGACTTAAGGCCAAGAGGAAACTCTCGAATAATTTTCCTCTCAACACCATACATAAACTTTTAAATTGCTATACAACCAAAAACAATACAACCTCCCATTCTCCCAACTCCCCACAATCATCTACCACTCCTTTCATATACAAATCTCTCCCCTATATTCCTATCCTCTCAGACAATATACAAAAATTCCTAAAATCGACTATAACCAACTTACGCCTTGACCTAAGGATCTTGTTACTCAGCTTACTTAGTCCATATTTTATTGTACTTACTGTTTATAATTTTAATAAGCTTATTCACATTGTTTATAAATTATGTCTAAATATTATGTAATTGCCACAATTCTCTATCTTTTTGTATCTTGTCCGTTCTAGCCCCGATGGAGACCTGCAAAGTCCGGTCGAAACGTTGGCTTTCAATAATATAGTTTTATCACTATTTATGACCTCAACCCCGGACCATCTCCTTCCTTTTTTTTAATGATTTGATTTTGGAAATAAATAAAATAAAATTCTTCGACTTAGTATTCTTTACATCCGAAGATTATGCTTATACAACAGATAAGTTGTATATCCTGATACCTCATCTGGTGTTTATGTATTATGTTGTGGTAAAATAAATAAGGGCCTAACATATCTGAATTACAAAAATTTGGGAATATGTTGGGGATTTAGTATGGTTGAAAATTGGATTCGTATTAAATTTTGCAAAAGTTAGGAAATTCGTTATTAGCTCTAAACTTCATATAATTTGACCTGTAGCACTTCAGCCCATGAAGGGTCTTGTAAGGAAGTACTGTTTCAAGGCCAACGGTTGTGCAGGGAGACGATTGCGCTGGGATCACGCTCAGCTGCCAGGTTTTCTCCCTTAATTGATTATTTAATTAAGAGTACCCACTTTATACAGGCTGGGTATGCCTCAGGTGGGTGTTGCAATCCCATGATCAATCCATGGCTGATGTAACAGAATAAGTAATTACCTACTACAGCTAGACTCAAATCTGGGATCTTGAGCTCAGGAAGTCAGTGCTTTACCCACTGAGCTACACTGCTCCCAAACTGTATATAATATCTTCCTATAATTTTTATAAAGCTAATTTTGATAGTTAACAGAATAAAGAGAATTCAGCTGAAATTAAAACTTTATTACTGATTCATTGATATTAGTATACAATTTCCAATGATGAATATTTAACTTTTATCAACAAATAAATAAAAAAAATTATCCTCCCCTCCCCTCAAAATTTGATACTTAACATTTCTTCAAGATACATATTTTTCAAAAACTTGAATAAATATATTAAAAAATCGTGTCAATGGCTATTCTTAGTGCTGGGCCAATTTCATTTTCATCTGATAAGGAAAATATCACTGTTCACCCGAAGGAGATGAATATCATTAGCCACTTTGTATGAAAATGGTGAATGAAGTTGTATAGCCCATATTTAAGCCATTTATGTAGGTAAAGGATATAAAGTGTTTTGAAATCATTTGTAATGTTTTTTTTTTTTATTTAAGCCATTTATGTAGGTAAAGGATATAGTGTTTTGAAATCATTTGTAATGTTTTTTATTTTAACTGCATTAATTTTATGTTCTTATAAAAATTTGATTATTGATTTAGAAAATTGTAGCATGTGTGTTAAAATGTCACTTGTCCGCAATTTCATAACTAAAAAAAAATTTGGAATATCAATACCTAAAATTTGTTGAAATCATTTAAAATTTTTTTAATGTATGAAAAACAGGCTTATGCATGGTTGAATAGTTTTTGTACTAAAATCATCTTTATCGATTCTACAGTTAAATAATATTACTTTTACTTACTTAAGTTACTATTCATTAAAAATTCATAGCTGGTGATTATTATATGTTGGTTGCCATTAGAGTATTTTATTATCTTAATTGCAAACCGCTATTATTATTATTATTATTTATTAACATTATTTTCAGCATGTACTAGCAGATGTTTGGTTGACAAAGGCTTCAGAACTCGGGATAAATGATAATACAATCCACACAAGAACTCATTTAGGCCATGTATTAAAACCCTTTGATTCTGTTTTAGGGTAAGAGCACATTTTATAATTTAAATTTTTGGCGTAAACATGTTATCCCATCTATTAGTTAAAAATTTTAATTGTTCAACAGATACAATGTAAATGAGAGTAATGTTAACGATGATTGCTTTGAGAAGTTAAACAAAGATTTAATTCCCGAAGTAATACTTGTGAAGAAGCATTATGCTAACAAGAGGAAAAGAGCATGGAAGCTCAAACATCTTCCAAGAGATGACACAAGCATTGGAACAGGAAACCAGTGAGTACTCTTGTATAATTGTTAATGATTCAATTTGTCAATTTAAGATGATATAGTTTAGTATCTTAATAAAAAAACATCTAGTGTGGTGCACACATCACACAATTTTAACTTAAGAACCATACAGTAGATAGGTATTTTCTTATATGGGGAAATCGAAGTGAGAATGACTGTATAAATTCATTTAAAACAATAATTACCATGTTTTCCCTGCCCATCACATCTTTAAATGTATATGTTTGCATCACTTTTCATCACTAACGAATCCAGGATTTAATTTTGGAGGGCTTCAGTCCGAAAGATTTTTTTTTGTATGTATATATTAGGATAATTACTTTGGAAGAAAGAAAGAAACTAACTACATATATGAAATGGTGTTTAAGTGATTCTTCAAGTGCTATCCCCTCATATATTATTACAGTAAGGCTCGAAATCGGTTTTGTACCACATATAAGCTCCTGTCATGCTCAAATACTATGAATGGGGCATCATTGGATTCATAATTTCACGGAGGGTTAACGAATCGTATTCTCCACTTTTGTTTTCTTTCTAAAATAAATAAAGTCGATACAAACATTTTGCTAGGCTTCAATACTGGAACAGTGGTGAGTCTATAGATCAATACGGGACAAATTGGGCTTTGAAGATTTTGGTCCTTCAGAACTATCGGGCCCTGCGTTTTTAAGCCTAAAAACGTACTATTTTCGAGATAATGCAAGGCATAGGGTTCACATCCACACAACCTTACTTTAATTGTAGTACTGTCATTGAATACATGTCTTATTTTGTCGACTTGAGACCTCTATGATCGAGAGAGGAGGAGTTAATATTATTTATCGATGATGCTTTTGTTTGGCAAGCCATATCATCGTTAATTCTTCACCAAATCCCAAGATTGAGCCATCAATATTGAAGGCTTCCTTCTCCTTCAGGCGGGCAAAATAGTCCGATCATCCCGAAAATTCAGGCAAACAAGTTATAAAAGAAAAGAAACTTTATTTGCGAATAACTAAAAAATTTAACACTTTTCCCTTTGTTGTCCATGATTATATAAAATATTACTAAATTCCCTACAAAAGGAGAAAAAAATCATCGCAGACAATTTTTAGCAAAGATACAGCTTATTGAAATTTTTAAAAATTGTTGGTTCCAAACATTAATGAAGTTTTAAATTAATTTTTGTTTCCTTTGTTGATTATATTTATTGATAAATTAACAATTGATTTTTTTTATCTTATGATGTTGCATTATTTTATTTTCCTATTAATTTGGTATTTGATCACTTAACAATATAATACAAATTTTTCGTACGGGCCTACTAGTTAAATTTAATTAACTATTATACTTTTAGAGATAATTGTTTTCATAAAACATGGTTATATTTTACCATTTTGGGGGAGGGGAGCTTTACCCGGCTAGAGAATAAGATTTATATTATATTAAAAGCAGCTAAATTTTACTCTGATATAATGTATTTCATCAAAATCGTTAAGAGCCATTTTTGAGTAAATTGTAAAATCGATGATATAATGTAGCACTTCCGGTTAGCCAATTTTGACGAGAAAGTTGCTGTATTTTTCCAGGTATGTACAAACCTTTAATTTAATCAACTATAGTTGTGTACGATTTTTCGTTTTTGAACTAGAATGTTCACATACACAAATACACAGACCATTTTGCGGGACTTGGTTATTTGAAATCAAGGTACCTCAAAACATGTATTTCCCAGCGGAAAATCAGATTTTTTAAAAATTTTCACTATTGCAATACATTCTCTTACTCCATATTACATACGTAGGTAAGTGAAAGTAAAAATGCATGCCAGGAATTGTGAGTTAGGGAGTTAACAAAAAAAAGGTTTAGGTTTATATATTATTCATTTGTCGAAATCATCTTTGCCATCCCATCTTCCTCAAAATATATTTATTTAAGTAATCGTTAATACTATAAAACCCTTTTTTTTTATTGTTGCAGAGACTATAATGAATTTCTTGACGATTTGGAAGAGGATCCATTATACAGACAAAATATCAATATTTATAGAAACAAACAAGTTATGCCTGTCGATACTGATGAATTAGAAGATCCGTTCGAACCGAGGATAACTCTCGAAGAGATGCTTGATGATCTTAATATTGATGATCCTAATGAAATGTCATAATTATTTTAATTAATTGATGATCCTAATGAAAGGTCATAATTATTTTAATTAAGCAATATGAAGTATATGGATAAGCCAAATTTTATTTACTTATTAATTATGATAATTAATAAAAATGTTGATAAAACCAATTTACTACCTTGAAATTTCCTATCACATTAGCTCTGAGAATTTATTTTAAATGCAAGTAAAGAAAAAATCTTTATAATACAGGGTGGCTACCAGATCATGAAAATAAAATTTCCTGACTTTTCCCTATTTAATGTTAGGTTTCCCTGAGCAATATTTCTGGAGACACAAATATTAAAAATGTATAATTTATAAAAAAAATGTATTTATTATACACGAAAGACATTTATAATAATAAATAACGACAAAATCAGTTCTAAATATTCTACTATCAGAGTTGAGGCAGATTTTACTCGAAATGACAACAAATATTTATAATCAATTTGTGATCCATTTGATGAACCTCAAACTAATATTTTGTGATGATGGTACAAAGATTCTGCTCTAGACACAACACTTTTTTTTTTCAATAGCTGTGAAATCGCGAGTGTTCTCTTTTAATTAACCAACAAATGGAATTCAAATGTTCAGACAACAGTTCACAAGAATTATCATGACGCTGACATATTCAACGCGTGAAACACAATGTTTTAAAAAGTTAATGCTAGATCGAACATTTTAACATTGAAAAATGTTCTAATGGACATTTATCTATGGATAGTATTCCCGTTAATTTTGTAGGACAGCTTACTAAAGAGTTTGGCTAAGGAAAAATATACTCTATTAGCTAGCTTAATAAAACTGGTCCTTGCTTCTAATTAATATTTAGGGAAATGGGAAAATAAAAAATGATGTAATTTATGTAAGATACATCTATATCCAGCATTATGACAACTAGAATCTATTGTAATAAGAGGAGAGCTTATTTAAATAACAGAAGAATAAACAATGAGGATTAGAAATACTGAATGGATTTAATTAACAATTAAATAAATATTTATTTACAAATCTTCAACAATTTAATTTACATATCTACACATTATGTTTTATGGAGGTAAACTTTTAAACACTTCATTTATTGGGATCCATTTAACATTCCTTTTGAATACTAAATCTTCAATGGTAAGCTTATGAAGGTAAAACACCTGGAAAAAAAAAATTGTATTAGTTATAAGTCATGCTCAAAGTTGTAATGATGGAATCTCGTAATTAATTTAATTTAATTTAATTTTAATTTTAATTTAATCGGACACTCTATTGGTGGAGTGCAAAAAAAAAAAAATTGTATGAATTTAAATGAAAATTTAGGAAAAATACAAACCAAGTAAAATAACGGTATAGCCCAAGTAGGTAGCCCTCTCAGGGTGATGCACAGATCTAGTTAGAAAAATTTGAAAATAAATAGGAAAAAATTGACTTAAAAGTATTTAGTGGGAGATTTCAGAAGTAAGGCTTTAGTAAGAAACTAGAGATCATAGGTATCTTTTATACCAACTGCACTCCTCACAGGATCGGTTTTAGAATGGGATAAAACTAAGTCCACATATACGTGGGCAGAGGAGTTTTATCTATAAAATAAATTTATACAGCCAATGACCATTAGGACTTTTTGTTTGAAGTCTGCCATGGTACAGATCCCGTTTATCAAATTATTAACATCCGCCTAAAACTTCGTGATTGGCCTAGTCTTATTGTAACCTACCAAATTTTTATTTACGGGCTGATTCTATTGATTGTACAGACAAAACCATTATTTTATTTATATAGATTATAGATGTCATAAAATTGCCATGAAGGCACTTAATACTTGGATATAACATCTGATTACTAAAGCCAGATGTTTTTTAGGAATTGGCGAGATTAGGTGTTTTATTTAGCAACAAAATCAGAGACTCAATGTACATTATATGATCATTTTCAGAAATCATTTTTTAGTGAGTAATGTGTTTATATTTAACTGATAATATACATATTTTCGTTACTTTATGTAATTTTTCTATCACTTTAAATTTAAACTTTGATAATCCAAACAGGCTCTGCAATCTATTGGAATATATCTATCTGTTAAAACCTGTTCCACTAACAACCCATGAAGGGTTTTGGGTTCACTACAATGTGAGTAAGTACAGTTACAAGGCCAACGGTTGTGCAGGGAGATAAGAGGCAATATCACACTCAACCGACATGTTTTCTCCATTAATTAATTACTTAATTAAGAGTATCCAATTAATAGGGACTGGGTGTGCCCCCAAGAGGGTCTCTCGGCCCCAGGATTGACCCATGGCTGATTAAAAATTACTAGTCATCAGCCGGATTCGAACCTGGGACCTTGAGTTCTTGAAGTCAGAGCTCACCCACTAAGCTACCCCGCTCCCTCTATTAAGTTGGGATTATCAAGACCACCCTATAATTAAAGGGTCTGGGAGATGGAGGTAGTAACATTTTTCCAGTTCTGAGAAAACTGGATTTAAATAAGCTTTATCCACAATAAGGTAGTATATATTCTCACTTATCAATTTGATAAATGAGAATACATATCTACCTTATTGTGGATGAAGCCTGTTTGAATCAAGTTTTCTCGGAACTCTGATAAAAGCAAATACACTGGTTATTCTTTCTAACATCAAAGGGATCGAGTAAATTATTTTATTATAGCTGATCCTCATTATAAAAGCATATTCCTCTCTTGTTTTCTCCACTTTGACTATGGCTGTATGGTGTACGGTGGGCTCTCAGGAGATCTCAAGGCCAAACTTCAACGCCAAATGAGCTGCACATAACATTTTGTTTTCGGAATCTCAAGAGATACACATATTATCCAGTATTATGAGTTGAAGTGGCTCTATCCATCCTATCGTCGTCAGTACTTCCAAGCTACCTTTCTGTACCAGATCATTAGAACTCATCGACCCTCCTATATTTTTCATAGCTTACAATTTAAATACTCCGTGCAATCCCGTCCTACTAGATCTCGCACTTCCGATCTCTATCCACCTCCTCATCGAACTGCTGCGTATGACCAATTATTTGCAATTCAAGCCGCCTCACTCTAGAATTCCATCCCTGCTGATATTCGTCACACTCAATCAGTTTCCTCTTTCTAACCCCTCCTCTTTAAACACCAACTCCTTTCTCAAACCGCCTGATCACGACATATACCTAAAAGAGCTATCTAAGTACCCCCAGAAAATATTTCTGTTACTTTAGTTTCTCCGTTTGCATTATGTATGATTATTATATATGTATATTTAAGCTTTTTATGTCTCTTCTCTCTTTCCATCTGTATTTTTACTTTTAAATAACCATATTGTAAACATCTACTCTATTTGACCACTTACACATGAATTTAGCACTTATAATTTGTTCTAAAGGGACAACAGTCCCAGAATAATAAAACATATTTTCATTTCATTTTTCATTCATTAAAATGACCATGGTCACTATAACTAATCTCAGGCTGTCTGTAACCGCAGTGGTCACTATATGACATGTAAAGAAGTACAAAATTAATCTGTACAAACCACTATGACAAATCATAAAGGGTCTGAGATTCAGTACTTTTTCTTGGTCAACAGTTGTGCAAGGAGGTGATTTGACTAAGATCATGTTCAACCACTAGGTTTTTCCCTTTAACTATTTATTTAGTTAAGAGGATCCACTTTTAGAGGATGGGTTTGCACAAGGAAGGTCTCTTGAGCCCAGGGTCGATCCATGACAAAACAGAATGACTAACTTATTTGCCATCAGCCCGATTCGAAACAGAGACCTTGAGCATTGGAAGTCAGTGCACTACCACTGAGCTATCCCACTCTCAAAAGATAATATTTACAAAGAAGATAATACTTTCCAAAAAAGAAATTAACTAAAGCTTCAATTAATTAATTTAGAATAATGCTACAATGTAAAACTTACCGTCTGCCTGACATATTTTATCATAGCTTCTAACTGTCTTACATCACACTCCCTTGATAGTATACGCCTCCAAACAGCACTTGCGAGAACAGTGTCATCGGACAGGATTCCTTCATCGTACGTAACTAATGCAGCTTGAAACTCCTCAGACATTTGCATTACTTGCGTCTTAACAATTGCAGTATGCTCCGACTACAAATTTGAATAAAAGACAAACTTGATAAGTTAAAAAATGAAAGCTTCTAAGATACTTTTGTATTTCCGTAGATTTCTACTAGAATATACTTTTTGATACATTGATTTGAAGTGTGAATATTTGATCTTATTTATTTAAATAAAATCAATTTCTTAAGGCCTAAGAGATATAATGTCAAAGCAAAATTTTAAATCCATAATAGCCCTATTGATTTGATTCGTGCTATTGATTTAGCATCATAACATGTAAAGCATTATCCGAAATTTCATGAATAACCTTTATATTTCCTTTTATAAAAAAATATGTCGCAGACTTATGCTTAATCATAAGTTTTATCTAAATTCTCTAAAATAAACTTATATTTTTACTTATAAGTATAAAAATAAAATTTTAATTTATTTACTGTATTCATTTAATTTTAGGCGTTTATTTCCTTTCTTTCATATTTTTAATTTTATATGATCAGGGTGTAATGAGTTTACTTACTTTAGTATTTACTTTATACAAGTATTAACCTATTAAGTAATGATTGATAATAATATAACAACAATGACTTATTTTAAATTTCAATATTCATTTACACTTCAATTAAATGCAATTATAATATATATTTATTTTCAAATGACTTCAACACATTTTAGTATGATAATAATTATTATTATTTTACCAACATAAATCTGAATATCACATTGGCCAATATTGTGCTCATATTGGCAGCATTGTTGGTAGACTCAACACACCAGTGGAATGCCTAATGAAACTGCAAAGCTTTCAGACAGTCTTAGGGACCATTTCACATTTTCAAAGTAAGATTAATATGACAATGTATTAATATGACAAAATTTATAATTATGATTGCTAAATGGATTGATGAGATAATTCTAGTCATAATTTGTAAAATATTATACTTACAGATCATAAAATATTTTAATTCCAGATTATTGTACTAATATATGGAAATTTAAAAACATAGGAGAATATACAAAGTCAGGGATTTACTTATGTTTTTCTAAATAGTAAAATATGGCTAGAAACCTTCATACCTGAATTAACTTTACCAATGTATCATTTGAGTCTTAATAAAAATAAAGACGCAATGGTTAGAGAAAGAATATATCAGCTGACTGTAAAGTAAAATCTTATATCAAGAGACGAATCATTCATAAAACCGATTTTTAATATTATAATACAACTCGTGTTAAATACCAAATTACTTAATAGAATATAAAGAATTATTTGCGATATTCAAAAGATTCAGTTACTAAGAAAACAATTAAAAAATCAGTTGAGAAATTAGCATCTCCATGTCCGCTTTTGTTTGTTAAGTGAGAGTAAAAACTGATTTTATCACAATGTGGAATTTTTTTTTTTTTTTTTTAATTATAATCGTTCCATTTATAATTATATAGGGAAAAAATATTTGTCAAAGAAGTAAAGCACTATAGCATTAACTAACAAAATTAACAAACTTAATCAAAATCTCAGTTTTGGTCAAAGAGGAGATTTCCATAGAAAATTCCGGTTGATTTACTGAATCCTATTTTTGATAATTACGTTTCGTACCTTGTCAGTCATAATTTAACTACTTCGTTTTGAGCAAACAATCCACCTCTCTGTACTAAACTGCTGAAGTGTTATTAGCTACAATAAGATTATATGTGTTTTAAAACAAGGTTTGTGAGTTCTTGAGTTTAGATGATCTAATTATGTTTAATTAATTCTTTAAAATAAAATTAAAAATACTTGAACTTCATCAGATTTTTCAAAATTTATTTTTGTTTATCAGATTTTTCTTCTTTGTCATACAATTATTTCTAGATTGCCTCCGTTTTTTTTTCTTATATTTTACTTGAAAAGTATGGAACTTCAAACAAAATTAGTAAACGTGAGCTAAAAACCTCATAATAACCTACTCCGCATATCTACAGAATTAGTACAAGTTGTAACAGACCCCAGGCTATGGTGTTGAGTGTACTAGAAGCCATATTTAATGTTAAATATATTTCACAGTAGTAATACACTTAAGAGGTTCAATATACTTAGCATTGGTAGCATGAATGTTCCTTATATCTTGATTAATGGGTCTTTTATAATATATCTAATATGACTTTTTAATTATCTCTTACCTACTATGTTGGCAAGGATAACTTATATACTATTTTTTTTATGACTAAAAGATTGACAACAAGGTCAATTCTCATATATTTTTTTTTACTGTTTACAAGCAGTTCAGTTGGATTATGATACCAATGTCGCTAAGAAATAAATAACAAAAATCTGGTGTGCACAGCATACTTACTGCTTTACTTTATTTAGAAATTATTTTCTGGCAATGTTGGACTATTAAAAAATGTTTGAAGTACATTTTTAATGTAGCTATAGCTTAAACCTTACAGATGACAAATCAATAAGACCATTGAAATTACAAAAATTCTATTTATTATATCGACGGTAGGCAATAAAAATCTAGTAACTCCATCTGCTTTTATAAACCACTCAACTTCAGTCTCTGAGCCTTTCAGTTGACAGAATGACAATCCAATTTCAACATTTTTGAGTAATATCATTTTAGTGATATTTCTAGATGGAAAAGTTATATCTATACATACAGTGAGTAAGTTGATTGAAATGGAACTGTGAATAAAGGTATAAATTTTGCCACTAGAATCTTCACTAAAATTAATGATAAAGAATGTTGAAATTGGAATTAGTCATTCCGTCCACCGAAAGGCTCATATATGCCTAGAGAGATTTGAGAGTATATCTGAATATTTAACCAATAAATGATAATGGATTGTAGGATTATTAGTTATTAAACTGTTATTTTCATTGTAAAGTTTACTAAAATGAAATTACTAGATTTTCATTGCCTGCCATGGATAGGTCAAAAGTTTTCACACTAATTGTAAGTGGATAATGTTGGGATTTCACAAAGGGAAAATTCATCAAATTATTGACTACTTTAATTTTCTAAAAGGGTACTAGATGATTATTTAGAATAAACTGCCAATAGATACCTAATTATTTAAATATATCATATCTAGAGTTATTAAACCACTGTAAATTAATGTGTATATTTAAAGATAATCATAAAGTAAGTGGTGTTTGCAAAATAATATTAGTAGAACAAAAATGAATTACTATCCATCAATATTATTGTTGGAATAAATTAAATATAAAAGTAAGTTGGGTAGATAAACTAGGAATATAAGCTCAATATATGATTATAGCAAATGTATGAATGATAAGATTAAAGAATAATCAATTTAGAAATTCAGATAATCTCTAGAACATTGCGACAACCTAAAGTGAGAAAAATATTATATTACAACTGATTTTACACCTAGATATTCGTGAATAAAATTACTATTACATCTTTTAAACCAGGTTTACACATTTGAAAACCACCAGAAACACAAGAAAAGAATGATTTAACCATTTCTGTATTTGCAGAGAAACAAACATGGTGGACGTTCAGAATAGTATTTGTCCTAACCTATTGTAATTTTAAAAAGAAACAAAATAAAATGGTGGATGAAGAAAATTAATTTAAATTGTACCAATATAGTTTATACAGCTGAAATCCCAACCCATCCTAAAACTGTCATCCCCACATATGCCGATGACACATGTGTCCTATCAGTTAATAACGATCCAACAATAGCATTCCAAATTCTTCAATCAAACACCACTATATGATCCAACAATAGCATTCCAAATTCTTCAATCAAACATCACAAGCTATGAAAAACGATGTCAAAAATGGAGGATTAAAATAAATCCAATCAAATCACCTTTACCCTTTGTCGTAAACCTATGACAGTTAACAGTCTGTATCACATTTACTGGATGTATATTTAATTATATATAGATTCATAATTGGTAAATGGTTGACTGTCGTGGATAATGAAGAGAAGAATAGTTGGGGTGGTCAGTCAAAAAAGAAGGCAAAAATAAATGATAATATTTATTTTTACATATGTCGATGTTTCGACCTGAAGTTCAGGCCATCATCAGGGCTAAGAAAGGAACCAGATAACAAGGTATGAGAAACATAAAGTTCGGCGATGAGTAGAAAGACGGTTGTTATCTGGTCGTTGGCCCCGTGTAAATAGATTCATAAATGGTAAATGGTTGACTGTCGGGGATAATGAAGAGAAGAATAGTTGGGGTGGTCAGTCAAAAAAAAAAGGGAAAAATAAATGATAATATTTATTTTTACATATGCCGACGTTTCGACCTGAAGTTCATTATCCACGACAGTCAACCATTTACCAATTATGAATCTATCTACACGGGGCCAACGACCAGATAACAACCGTCTTTCTACTCATCGCCGAACTTTATGTTTCTGATACCTTGTTATCTGGTTCCTTTCTTAGCCCTGATGATGACCTGAAGTTCAGGTCGAAACGTCGGCATATGTAAAAATAAATATTATCATTTATTTTTGCCTTCTTTTTTGACTGACCACCCCAACTATTCTTCTCTTCCTTAATTATATATAGTATGAATAATACTAAACCATCAACACTTAGCCTTTCCTCTCCTCAGTTTTCTCTAAGCTTATGCGCTTGATGTTTTACATCATGTTCCCTACTTTAATTTTACTTCTAACACATTTTCATTTCCATTTGATTTAATCATTTTTATTTTCAACTATTTTCTGTTTTTTTATCAATTGCTCTGATTTTCAACTATTGCATTCATTTTTTCATCTATTTTTACTTTCACTTACATATATATGTAATATTTAATAAGGGTAAGTATTGCGATCGAGAAAATTTTTCTTGTTATAACCATAGAAGATTCAAAATTTCACTACCAAAATTTCAATAAATGGTCAGTAAAAAAAAAAGTAATTAAAATATAAAGTAATCATATTGTGAAGTTTTATTTTACATTTGTTTTTATTACTTTGTATATTATCAATGTTTTCAGGTTCTATTTCATCCTCGGGATCACGAAAATTATTCCTTTAAACGTTAATTATTAA